AGCATAACCATTTGTGCAAAATGGCAACCTTTTCGACTCATATTTTCAACGTACCTGGAGCATAACCATTTGTGCAAAATGGCAACCTTTTCCTATCCAGCTGAAACTTGTTGAAAGAATTTTGAAACAATCTTTTTGGGCCGCAAGGCACCTCTGGGAATATCTTTAGATCGCAGTCCTGAAAAGGAGTCARCTAAAATCATGAAAAATGTAAAAGCATGCATAGCCTGTAGCTCAATTTCAAAAGTGTTCACTATACTAGCACAATCCTTTTGTGACATTCTTCTACTTTTACCACAATTCCTTTCGAGAAGTTTTTTGTGTTGAATTAATTTTTCTAATAAAAAATAAGCGTAAAGAAACTTTGAAAGTAAGCTCCAACTGACATTTACCCGGTTTTACACCAGCATGATTTACCGGTTTTTCAAACTGGTTCCTACCTGTTTTAGTGTGCAGACTTCATGGGGCGAACGGGAATCAAACTGTTTTCTGCGTTCGTTTCGTGTTTGTCGATATATATTTATTTTATATGTAGCAACAACGGCTGGTGGACGGTTAGAAAGGTGGAGAAGGAAGATAATAAACTCATTCCAACCAACACCGAGATAGTAACTCACAGGTCTGAAAAAAAGTATAAACAGACATACATGGATGAGACAAAAGAGCAAACACGTGACCGGAAAGTTTTGTAACCGCCAAATGTTTTGTTCCTCTAGGCTTTATTCGATCACTTTCGAAAATTTCTGTATACAGTTGGACAAGCGTTGACGTATTCGATAAAATGCACCTGAGTTTAGAATTCACATGTTGTGAGTACCCTCGAGTCCTGTTGTGAGTACCCTCGAGTCCTACATTTTCATCCTAAAATGCAAGGGCTTTTTCATGGGATGGGATGGGGGTGCTGCGGTCTAATATTCGTCCAAAACATTTTTTTGCTCATGTTTCTAGTACTCACTCTTTGGATGGCTTTGATTTACTGTTAACAGCTGCTGCTGACCAGCAAGTCGAAGTCGTTCCCCAAAGGTTAATCATCATGACGGAAAAAGGAAAGACAACTTCGTACTCCATGATTTCATTGTCAAACGTTGGATTTATAGTTGCTTCTGGCTTGATGAATATATCGGTGAGAACAGGAGCTGTGTTGCGATCTAAAGTATACAAATAAATTAACCAAGCAATGCTTACAAGACAAAACAGAACGGGACGGAACGCAACGGAACGCAACGGAAAGGAGCGGAGCAGAGAAGAACAGAGCAGAGCTAAACGGAACAAAACGGAATAGATTGGCAGATAGAGAAGGCAGAGTAGAATTTTTTCTATTGCTAGTAATTGAAAGAAACTGTCTTACCGTCATCACAGTCGTTCAAATCACTATGAGCCTGGTTATCTAAAGAGAGATTATACTGACTCATTAAAAACATTTTGCTTTCTTTTGAATAGTGATGATTGAAAACTTGAACGTGAATTATCCGTTCGACCATAACGTACCCTCTACTGCGTTCTGATCGCCTGAGTCATCTTCATCATCGGTTTGCCAATGTTCTTTTCTAGGGAACAGAATCAATGAAATCTCTATAAACATTGGTGTCAAAAATGACAGACAAAAATGTTTGAGTCATTGTGTTTTGATATGTTTAGAGTTGGTATGTGTGATTGCGTTTAGTTGTGTAAGTGTGTTATGCTGTTAAGGGTTGTTTATTCAGTCACTTCCACTAATGACGTCATGTGATCTGTGATGGGATTGCCGAAAGTATTCACTGAAGCCATGTTGATAGGTTTAGATTGTGCTTCAGATCTTTCAGGCTGTTTTTTAAGAAGCGTTACTTATTTACCAGTCCAGCATGAGTATGCTATAGTTTGCAGCCATCTTACTCACGGTTATTCCGAAGCTTCTCTACAACAAAAAACGTTTATTTTAGAGAGAAACGTCCTCTTCCATAGTTTTTACAATATCAGACATCAGTCATCTCGATTCTTTCATCAATACCATAATGCATTTCGCCGATACAAGCATGACGTCATTAATGGAAAAGACCATTCAGCTGTGTTGCAATGATTAGCGGGTGAAATATTTCATGCGTTGCATCCAGAATGCTTTTCGATAAAGCAATAATAATAATATAATTGCATTTTATATTGATAAATTCTAACCTTTTGCTATCGTGTTGTTTTGTCGTATCATGATTGGTCCCTTGGCTGCCATAGTTTTCCAACTGTAAAAGTGCACTGTGTAGTTCTGGCGTGCCACGATTATGTGAGGTTACCATGCCAACGCTAGATGATCGTAGTTCGACTAATAAGGTTCGGTATCTAAGGCTGTCATTTGTCGGATAGAGCTGGGAAGACACGAAACATCAATGAGTAAA